TGTACTGTGAAGTTAGGTCCCTAGGTGGCACAAATGCTTTGCACTTGACTGTTAACGTAAAGATTTGCAGCTTATATGCACCTGGTGGCCCATGGGAGGAAGACCTGGCAAACTACTTCTGTGAGGATGACTAAAGATGACAGCCAAGAGGACTCTAGGGAGCAGTTCTGCTCTGTAGCACACGGAGTTGCCATGAGTTGCAATCGGCCCCACCGCCTTGGGTTTGGTTTGTGTTTTTGCAAAGAGGTTGTTGTTGATGATGATGATGCTTGCCTGCCTTGTAGGATCGTTGTGAGGATGAAATGAGGTAAAGTATGTGATGCATGAGCAACAGTGTTTGGCACATAGCTGATATTTAGCAACTATTAGCTCTTAATGTTCTTACTACTCATATTCTTGTTGCCATCATCAAATCTCTTTCCAGAAAAATATACGTATACCCAAAGGCAAGGAATTTCAGGGGCCAGTAGACCTCCTAATGAGGTCATGGACCACTCTTAGGTGCCTGAAAGAAGTCTTTGCCCGTGGACTACTCTCCAAAGTTAAGAGGTTCTGAATAAAAGTTGATGTTTTGCGATGAATTACTAAATCCAAGTATGAAGCAAAGTAAGAATTAAATCAGGCAGTGATTGATGACAATTAAGGACTAGTAAGAAGGCATCTAATAGTATCTGAATCTTCATTAAATGTTATTTGTAACTATATCCTTTATAATTTGGCAATCTTTATTGTGCTTCTACTTCTTCATTTGAGCACATTGAAAACATTACCAAAGTAGAGTGGAGTAGACTGGAACTTTCTGTCAGGAAGAGAAGGCAGGCTCCAAATGGAACCCGTGAAATCTGACACAAATAGTGATTGCACCACCATCCATCTCCATAGATGGAGGGGCTGATTGGAGATCACACAGCCTTTGGAATCTGTGATACTGAGATCTTGATTTTTCTGGCAGTTATGAAAAGCAAGGCCGTTCTAGAACCTCTGGTCTGATTCTGCATGCCACAGGTGTGTGCTCTTTCTTTCCATTCCAATGAGGTCAGCTTGCTAATGCCTGTTCCATCCCGTTGTGCATTTGTACAGAATAATATTACAGCTGTAACCAAAGAAGGAACAATTCTGCTAACAAGTCTCGAAGCACCTGACGCTGAGAAAGTTGTCAGTTCAAGACTTGAGCGTCATCAGCAAATCAGTGGCGACTGGCATACTATTAATAAGTGAGTGTTCCCGCGTGACTTCGGGTTGCTTATTTAATAATCTGGAAAGAGAATTGCACATTTTTGCTGCAGTCTGTTAAGTGTGAACTTTTCTTGGACCTCTGGAAATCAGAGACTGCTTCCTGAGTTGTGTCCCACAGAGATTATTTTGCTTGTGAAAGAGGTTGTGTGGGCATTGATGGGCTCTGCCTGAACCAAGTATCACGGGCTGTGACTTTGTCTGTAATTCATACCGGTCAGAGCAGGTTTGTCTCCATACCCATATACATCATTGTTTTTGAGGAATTCTTCAACTTTTTTGTTGTTGTCATTAAGATTGCTGACTCAAGTACATGACATGGAAACAGCTTTTGATGGATTTTGGGAAAAACACCAACTGAAAATGAAGCAGTATCTTCAGCTGTGGAAGTTTGAGCAGGATTTTCAGGAGGTCAGTTCAAACACGTGTAACTCCACTGCCATTGAGTCTATTCTGGCTCATAGCCACCCTTTAGGACAGAGTAGAACTGCCCCTAGGGTTTCCAAAGGTGTAAATCTTTCTGTGCAGTGGCTGGTGGGTTCAAACCACTGACCTTTTGGTTAGCAGCCAAATGCTTTAACCACTATGCCACTGGAGCCCCTTAAAATGTATGTACATGTTACATGTACATACAGATCATATTTTTTTCTCACCCATTTGAGAGTAAAGTGTGTACATGATGGTCGTTTCTCCCTAAATAGTTCAATATCTCTCAATACTGGGGACATTCTCTTACATAACCACAGGACACTTCTCAAATTCAATAGATGCTGCACTACTCTAATATTATCTGCCATCGGTTTTCCAGTTGAGTCGTGACCCAATCATGAGTTTTACAGCACTTCTTTCTCCTCCAGTATGGGATCCAGTGTAGGTGGAGTCTGGAATATCCCCACAGTCTCCCTTTGTCTTGTAAGACATCGACATCTTTGAGAGACACAGTCCTTTTGTAAAGGAAATGATCTTCATTTTGAGTTTCTCTGACGTCTTCTCATCATTAGCTTTGGTCTGTGTGTGCCCACCGAAGCCATGTGCCCTTCTCAGCATAGCACACCTGGAGGTGCTTGTGGTCACCTGCCCTTCATTGCTGGTGGTGATTTTGATCACCCAGTGATGGGAGGTTGAATGGCGTTATTGCTTTTTTTCCCTTGTAACTAATAAGAAATATGTTGGGAGAAAATTTAAGGTCATGCAAATATCTGGTTCCTCATCAAAATTTTGCCATGAATGTAGCATTAATTAATGACCCTTGCTGGATCAGTCTTTATTATTATGACTATAAAATGATGATTTTTCCAACTCAAGCATCCCCTCCACATTCACCCGCTGACACTAGCCATTCTTTTATAAACAATGTAAGTTATTATGTAGTTAATCTATTTATTATATTCCTAGATTCCTGTTTTTTGAACCATTTATAATTCATTAATGTTCTCTGTGATTTTGGTGTTTGAAACTGGCTACTGTGTCCTTCTGATATATCCCAACATTTCTTTTTTTTTTTTTCTGTCACTTCATTATTTTGTGGGATGAAGAGATATTCCAAGTACATCCTGTACCTACTCTGCCACAGCCCTGGAGGAGGCCTGAGGAAGCCTGGTGTCTTTGTCTGGGAAATGGTATTGAACACCAAGATCTGGTACCAGGTGTACTCATTGATCTTGGAGGGTCTTCACTTCCAGGCCTGTTCACTATACAGCTAGGGAATAGAGATACATGTATACACACACATATATACTTTGATATATACAGACATACAAGTTCACATATACATGCATGTACATATACATATTGATATTTTAGAAATCATGAGTTCACTGATATCTAGGAGGTTAATTGTTTAAAAAATTTTTTATTGTGATTTGGGTGAAAGTTTACAGAGCAAATTCATTTTCCATACAGAGGTTCATATACATTTTGTTTCATGACATTAACCGCAATTTCCCACAGTGGAACAGTTCTCTTCCCACTTCTTCTGTGTAGTTACCTGTGCCCTGTGTCCTTCTTTCCTATGCATTCCTCCCCCCTGGGCTATCTCCCTATATGAATACTGCCCTTCTGATCTTCCATGGTTGCTTGTTCTAAGGAGTGTACCTACCTCGTGTAAAGGTTCACTTTGTACACCTATCTATTGTTTGGCTGGAAGCCATGGGAGTGAGTTTGGTTCCAGGCCCAAAGGTGACTAGGAGCCATAGTCTCAGGGGTTTCACCAGTATCCATCAGACCAGTAAGCCTGGTCTTTTTTTTTTTTTTAATGATTTTGAGTTTTGTTCCACATTGTTCTCCTACTCTATCCAGGACCTCCTGTACTGATCCCTTTCTGGGTGGTTGACAGTGGTAGCCGGGCACCATCTAGTTCTTCTGGTCTCAGGGTCATGTATGCTGAGGTTTAGGAGGTTAAATTTTCACACACAATATCTGTGACTGTAAATAAAATGACTGAACGTTTTTTCTGTCTACTCAAATTTTCCTGTGTCGACATTCTTAGCATAGTGGCTAAGACACTTGCCTGCTAACCAGACGGCTGGCGGTTCAAACCCACCAGCCACTCCTCGGAAGGAAGGTTGGGCAATCCTACTTCCGTAGTGATACTGCCTCGGAAACCCAAGGAGGGGTCGCTATGAGTCGGGGCTGACTCGACGGCACATAACAACAACAACAACATTGAAAACTTGATTATAAAAGGAAAACCCTTAATAATTTGTATGTTTCTAAAGCCTCTTTATTTTCTATTTAGCTTGTGACTGAAATTGAACTGCTGCTAAACCAACAAGCAGAGTTGGCTGATATAACAGGGAATATATATCAAGTGAAGCAAAAACTCAAAAAGTTGGACAATTTAGACGAAAATTCTCAGGTGAGATTACATTTTAGAAGTTTAGTATGTTGATGCAATATAATAGTTATGCTTTGGCAGGATGAAGAATAAACCCTTACTAAGATTGATCTGTCATAGGAATACTCTGCACAATTGGGACAAGAATATCGGTCTATACTCTGTCCTGTTCAATGCAGACTAGGAGTGACATGGCAGCTACATCCTGTAGTGTAGCAGAAGGCCTCTGAGATAATGGTGTGAACTGTTTCAAGCTCACCAATAACAACATGAGTGTAATTCATTTTGTGAAAGGTAGAAAAATATATCTACCAAGAATGAGATTTGGTACCTGGTAATGATCATAATGAAAATGGCAGAAAACAGGCAAGAAGGCAATTCCTTAAATGCAGGTAAACCAAGCATAGACTCTTACAGACTGACCTTCTTAGTCTTACAAGCTGTGTATCCTTGAGTAAATGGATTAAGTGGTCTAAGCCTCCATTTCCTCATGTTTAAATTGGGGATAAAATATCTACAGAGCAATCCTGAGCATCCAGTGGTTAAGGCATTAGGCTGCTAACCAAAAGGTTGGTGGTTGGAACCCACAAGCTGCTATGCAGGAGAGAGAGATGGCGTCTGCTTCTGTAAAGATTGACAGCCTTGGAAACTCTACGGGGCAATTCTACCCTATCCTTTAGGATTACTAAGAGTTGAATTGACTCGATGGCGTGGCTCTGGGTTCATCTAGAGGGCATATCTACTGCAGTTTGCACAGTTCCTGGGACATAGTAAGTAATCAGAAAAGGCAGCTGCCATTATTCTTGCTACTCTTAAAGCTTGGGCTTGGGGCTTTGACAAACTCTATCTTTGCTCTCCTAGCTTGTACAGGAGAGTAGGGCCAGGTTCTTGAAGGTGTAGTCTCAACAAACATATTGGTTCATGGTGACTCACCAGTATCTAAAAACAAAACCCGACAGGCAGCAGTTGCAGTGATCAGTTCTGGAATTGTCCTTGTAGATCTCTCTGATTGTGGGACGATTTGTCTATCCCCGTGGGACAGTAAAAAGAGAAGGCAAACTGACCTGGAAACTTGGGGGCTTTCATTTTAACCCTGGCTTTCCCACTAGCTAGCTACTGGTCACATCCTCATTGTGGGCCACTGTTTTCATTCTTTGACCTTGACAGGCATTTCCCAATCTCTTACTAGGTTCCGGTCACTGTGTGGGAGAAGCAGTCACTCACAGGGTGGAGGCAAGGCTGCTGAGATCCCTTTATGACTCAGAAAGCCCATGATGTTCCCTTCCAGTATATAAAATGGACGGATGATGATGACTTGACTGCCCTTTCCGAGGTCAGGGTCATGTGGGCCACATTAGCTTCATTTAATACAATAAAACCTGTGCAGCCCAGAATCTGTGTAAGGTGGGAACCTGTCAGAGAAGAATTAGACTTCTAACCAGAAGGCTGGCAGTTCAAACCCACCAGCCACTCCTCAGAAGGAAGATGGGGCAATCTACTTCCATAGTGATACCGCCTCAGAAACCCAAGGAGGGGTTGCTGTGAGTCAGGTCCGACTTGAAGGCAGTGAGGGTTTTTTGTTTTTTAAATAGCCATAGAAAGTGGTAAGGTGGCACCTTGGCAAAGGCAGAAAACTTGCGAGACTTGGAAAAAGAAGACAGTCCTGTTGAGTTCTGGCTCTCACAGGTTCCACTGGATATGCAGTTCTGTTCTAGATCCATAAAACCGGGAGAAACAAATCTCACCCCCATTCTGGGTGGGATTGTTAACTTTTTGTTTCTGTAACCAAAAATGTGTGAACTGATGACATCACTTCTGTAGCTAATTGTTGCAGCTTTTTTGCAGCTTGCAGAAGTATGACATCAAATTGGAACGGTGACACTATATCTCCCTCACTAAACCAATTTGCTTCTTATTTTCTCCCTTTTTTCCCCGTACAAATAGAGACCATGCAGTCACTACTTTCCTTCTCTCTTAAAAATCAGGATCTGTTAGCAAAGGCCCGGTTTGTGATATTACATGGACACAGGCTTGCAGCCAGCCACCATTACGCACTTGATTTAATCTGCCAGAGGTGCAATGAGCTACGCTACCTCACTGATATTTTGGTGAATGAGATCAGAACAAAACGGATACAGCTCAGCAGGACCTTCAAAATGCATAAACTCCTGCAGCAGGTAGTATCATGGCAAATGGTCCATCTGTAAAGAAGGATGTACTCTTTGTATCCTGGGTTCTCTCTGCCTGATGTGCTTTGCCTTCATGTTTCATGGTACACCTTCATCTCCTCTGAGGTTATGGGGTCAGGGTCTGGTGCCGCCTTGGAATTGAATTTGTAAGTGACCTGCAAGACTGAATTCATTGATGGCCATTTGAGCTCTCCACATATGTAGTCAGCATGGCTGGGCCAGTATCGTAAGCACTGGAGTCTCTGTTCTGAATATTGAGATGGGATGGTGATCGTGTCCTTTCTATTTGGGGAATGTCTCTGCACTCACAACACTTTTCAAAGTCCCAGGGGGCATTTTTCTAAGGCCTGAAGCTCCTTTTACGTTTCGTGGCACAGAAATAAGAATTTAAACAGTGGCTAGAGATCAACCCTCCCTGGCTTGTGGGCCTGACCCCTCCTATCATGAGTAGGTAGTGACTAGAAAGGGTGCCATCAGATACGGTCTTGGCGGTGCAATGTAACATTGGGGTATCAGTTACTGGTGTCAGATCTGAACGTAAATATTTTCATCCTACAGCACCTTGCTGGCGAGAAAACTTTATTCTTGTCCTGGGCAGTCATTATGCACTTGTGTTATGCTTTCGATTTGGCTAGGGATTTCATATTGCAGTCATAGATTTTGGGAAAATTCCACGCAACTTAAGCGTCAGTGTTGAGAGAACGGTCTGAGTCCTGGTGCAGAATGAGTTACTTGCTATGGAATGAATGCAGTGGTTCCCAACCTTGGCTGGGCCCCAGAAATAATTGTGGAGTGCTGTAAACATATCAATGCCTAGCTTCGCACCTGGAACTACTAGATCAGAACTTGTGGGGGCTGAACTCGGCTTTCTGTTTTTAATAGCTCTGAAAGTGATTTTGATTCCCAGAAGTCAGAACTGATAAGCACTCTGTTTGTGGACAAATATGTTTCCTCTTATCCACTTGTGTGTACGGGGTTCTTTCTCTTGGTTTTCTCACCAGGCTCGACAGTGCTGTGATGAAGGGGAATGTCTTCTAGTTAATCAGGAAATAGATAAATTTCAGTCTAAAGAAGATGCAAGGAAAGCTCTCCAAGACATTGAGAATTTTCTTGAAATGGCTCTGCCCTTTATAAATTACGATCCTGAAACCCTACAGTATGAATTTGATGTAGTTTTATCTCCTGAACTCAAGGTAGGAGATTTTTTTTTGTATTTTGTACATTTAATAATATAACATGCATTATTTTTTCCACTAATAAAAATGTCCCACAACAACATCATTATTATTGATTGAATATTATTTCATTCTATTATGGCAATTTATTTAATGCTAGACATTTAGAGTGTTTTCAATTTTTCATTATTAGTAATAGTACAGAGTGATGAAGATTCTTTTTTTAAAACAATTTTTTGTTTATTTTTATTTGGGTGAAGATTTACAGAGCAAATTGACTTTCCATACAGCAGTTCACATACACTTTGTCTCATTTCATTGACCACAGTTTACCACAATGCAACAGCTCCCCTCCCACTTCCTCCCCATAGTTACCTCTTCCCAGTGTCCATCCCTCCATACTCTTCTGCCCCCTGAGCTGTCTCCCTGTGCATAAGCAGTCCTTCCTTCTCCCATGATTGTTTTCTCCAGGGTGTGTGTCTACTTGAGGTAAATGTTTAACTCACATGCCTGTACTTTGGCTGGAAACCACAGGTGTGGGTTCAATTCCAGAAGGTAGGAGAATTTTTTTTGGAAAAATAAACAAATGAAATCAGGTTCTAATCAGAGTAGCATGGGTAAGAGTTACACTACTTCGCATCTAACTTTTGGTCGAAATGTAACGACCCATTTCTTTTAAGGATGAAGGATGGGAGTGATGCCACTATTAAGGAGCAAAGACTCCAAAGGTTGATGTTTGCTTTAAAAAAGAAGAGCAATTTCCATTTAGAGCTCTGGTTCCATTATCTTGAGACTCTTCACATACTGGGAGCCACACACATCTTGGGGAGAAAGGCCCAAGGCAATCCTAGGAGAATTCTTGGCCCATGTCAAGACCACTTGTGGTGAATTGCTTGATGTGGCCCTTCTAGCCATTGTCTTCCATTTTGTGATGTATTGTAAATCCTATTATCCATGCCTGTTTGGGGTGGTGTGGTAGGTAGTTATGGTCGGGTGTTAACTTGGCTGGGCAGCTGGTAGTAGTTGTTCCCTCTAATGACTAGAAATCAGCTCTGTGGTGGGATTTGCCTTGAGCAACTGAGTAGCTGCTGATGGTTAAAGCCATCCACTTGGGTTATTTCTGTTGGAGCAGCACAGGTGGGATATATCTTGAGTCCTGCCTTGCTGGAAAGTGTAACTCAAATCACCACCCTTAGTTTCCGTGAGGGTGTACCTATGAATCTTCTGGGGAGGTTTGCCCTCTTCTTGCTCTGGTTCTGTGTTTTGGCTCATCCTCATCTCACCCCTGGATTTGGGACAGCAGCCGTCATCTGATCTGCTAATCGAGGTTC